GTCAAAAAGCGCCTGATTATTGGACTAAGTTGTCTTACGCATCTGATTGATTTCGCGTATAATACTGTCAAAATCACACAAGGTTTACATATAAACACAGTTGGTTATGTCTAAAATGAAAGTAAACAGTTGAAAGAGAAACGCATGAAGCTCTTAAAGGGACAGTAGTTACTAAACATGCTGCTGACTGTCATTAAAGGGATAGTTTACCCCAAAAAAATTAATTTCTGTCATTATTTACTCACTCACATTTTGTCCTAAACATGTATTAATTTCTTTCTTGTGCTGAACACAAAAGAAGATATTTTGAAGAATGTGGGTAACCAAACAGTAGCTGGACCACACTGATTTTTACAGTAGGAAAAAAAAAAACATGGAAGTCACTGTGGACCAGCAACTGCTTGGTTACCCACATTCTTCAAAATAACTAAGAAACTAATTCAGGTTTAAAACAACTTGAGTAAATGATGGTATAAAAACGAAACACTATGACAGATTTGAAAGACAGATGACAGAATTTAAATTTTTGGTGAACTATTCTTTTAATGTTAATAAAACGACAAAACAATCATTAGTCAGTTGCTTTAAAAAAAGTATAATTGATGTATATAGTGTATCTAGTGTTTTATTTTAATATCTGTTCATTCAATTTCTTGAATGTTACTGCTAAATACTGTACCTGACAAATAAAGCACTGTTTGTTTTATTTGTATATTATGTGTATTTGTAATGTATATCTTTGTTCTTATTTTCTAATAACAAGGATAAAATAATGACAAAGATTTTTTATCTTTGCTCACTTTGGCCTAAATGTCAGCCATTCTTTTTGTAAGAGGTGCTAGCAAATTAAGAAAACTTTGTCTAAAAACAATTTTTGTGATGGTTTGTATTTTTTGTGCTCTGTATGGAACATCAGTGCCTGTTTAAGTGATGAACTCCATTACTTGTGTTTGTTTCAGACATGATAACAGACGTTTTATACTTGTGCTACAACCTTTTGGCCTGTGCTACAAAACTTTCAACCTCTGTAGGAAAATGTTAACGTACAGCCCTACGTATATATATATATATATATATATATATATATATATATGGTATTATATTAAATAGATACAGTATATGC